ACTAGAGTTGATTTAAGTCTTTTAACAGCTTCAGTTAATGAGGGTTTTAGGACTTCAGTTTGAGTGTAGAGACTTTCAGACTGAACTAGTGCATCCAGTTTACTGATTCTATCATGACTATAACAAAATTTATGGTCGGCCAAACGATAAAACTTGCAGACCCACTTCATCAAGGACTACATCCAAAAGACTATACACATAACGACTTGGGTTTGGGGAGAAAATCTTGTTTCAGGTGCCTTGTTCTCCAGACCAACAGGTTTTTTGAACATTTCAATCAGTCAGACTGTAAATTAACTTGAACAATTTTGAATGGGCGAGATGAGATGATAATGCCGGTAGGTGTATCGTGAATCAAATTCTAATCAGTAACGAAATCAAACGACAGGGAAGGTCATTGTTATTTTGCTACCAGTCAAGCGTGAATAAAGTGTTCTTAGCCTACTTAACCTATCCATCCACTTGCACACAAACGCTTTCAGATAAGGAGCTATAAAATTTCCTCGAAACCAACTAGAATATATCCATGACAGAACTTGAAAACAAACCAAATCCTTACAAAATAACTCTTGAAAATTAACATGATGCTAACTAGTGACTGGTTACAGGACGAAGTTGCCTGGGAGTCCCAGTGAGAAGTCGTGACCAGTTGGTTGTACCCGGTCGGCTTTGAGAACAAACACTTGCCGATGACATTGGCTGGGGGTCGCACTAAAATCGTTAGAATGTATGGGCTGAATGGTCAGAGAGCTAGACCCCCTAATCTGAATGTCCTGGGGTTTTTGTCTCCAGAGGTGGGGTTGTATTGATGAAGAGCCCCGAATTTAGGACGAAACAGCTGGGCCAGTATTCCTACCTAGTAGTTTTCAATGATTCTCTAACTGACATCAACAGGTGTTCGAACTTGAAAAAAATCAAATCCTTCCTAAGTGACTTTAGAATAAATTATATTATTATTCCCTTGCGTTCCAAGTGGAACATAGTGATGGCTTCAACAACACATCTCCACTTTGTTCTGATTTCTGACGTCCTCTTCAGCTGGGTCCGCGACCTACCTCACACGATCTTCTCCATGTCACCTCCACACCAACGACCCTTGTCGTCGTTTCCCATTTGAGTTCCACTCGAGGGCAATGGCGTACGATGTAATTCGACGGCCCCCTCAATGTATTCCCTCCTCCACCCTCCACTTTCTCCTACATATTTGTTGAGCGATCGGTTCTTGGTTGGTTTGTTCGCAGCCAAAGTTTCTTGTTGTCTATTTTTTCTGGTCATTTGATCTTCAGAATGGAGCGAGGGCAGCTGTTGATGAAAGTCTACAGTGACCTGTTGGAAAACCTCTTTGTGAAACGCAATGCAAGTTTCTGACTCGTATAGAAGCACTGACCGGCTTCACATTGGTGGTGGTGAAAATGCGAATCTTGTTCTTTATCTTCAGTGAGGAAGATTTCCGAACTGGTTTAAGGTTGATGAAGGCGTATCTTGCCTTTCCCATTCTGACTTTGACATCTTCGTCCGTTCCACCTGTAGTTGAAACGATGCTTCCAAGATAGGTGAAGGAGGTAACCTCTGTAAAATCTTTTCCTTTGATGGTGATTGGTTATCTTCATCACCTCCGTCTTCTCTTCCGTTCACCTGGAGTCCTGCTTTGGCTGCCTCTTCAACCAGTTTGCTGCTTTTCGCTTGCATGTCTTCGAGTGCGTGTGTGTGATATTAGACATATAACATCTGGGCGAGAAATCCAGATCTTCTAGAGTCTTCTTATCGGTCACCCAGTGTATTCCTGACTACTGCCCCCACCCCCCACCTCAACAGTCTGACGCATAATCCGGTCCACAACAATAAAGAATATCATCGGAGATAATAGGCGGACAGCCTTGTCTCACTCCTGTATGCCCTTCGAACGCCTCGTTCAGTTTTCCGTTGTGGATCACTTGTCACGCGGCATTCTCATATAACCAGCTGTTGAATGAGGTTTTAAGTTTACTGATACTACTCAATTGACGAAACAACTTCCTACACTGTCGATATGTTGATGACACATTTATAGTGTGGTAAAATGAAAGTCATGCTTCACACTTACTAAGATTATTCAATGGTGCAGACGACAATATTGAGTTCACTATGGAACATGAAAGGGACGGGAAGTTTCACTTCCTCGACATCGCCATGGAACGGCCAAAAGACGGTAGTCTTCAAAAGTCAATTTATCGAAAGCCTACATGGATAGGACAATACTTACATTTTAATAGCTTTTGTCCAAATAGCTTTAAACGTGGTCTAGTGAAGACTCTGTACTATAGAGCGAGGAGAATATGCTCTATAGAGAAACTAGAAGAAGATTTGAGTTTCTTGAAAAGATATTGAAGAGAATGGGTACTCTCAAAGATTCATAAACAAGTAAGGAAGATCTGAAGTCACAAATGTAAAACCAATCACAGTGGGAAAAAGCCAATCTACATTCAGCTTGATTATAAAAGTGAAAACATTGCAACAATGATCAACAGAAGGCTGAGTACATCACTAGCCATAGCCTATCCTGCAGCTAAGCTGGTTCCTGTCTATCGAACAACTTCCTCTTTGGTGCAATCAAAAATCGATAGATATCCTTCTCATCTCAAGTTCAACTTTATATACAAATTTACGTGTATCTGCGGAAGCAGTTACATTGGAAGGACAGAAAGAAGGGCATATCTACGATTTTGTGAACATGTACCAAAAAGCTTACGTCTAAAAGGAACAAATGCTTTAGACAGTGCCATCGCCAAGCATCTTCTTGACATGGGTCATGAGGTGGACGTCGAAAAATCGTTCAGAATTGTCAATAGGTAAAAGGACTTAGTTCTCCTCAAGTTTGCTGAAGCCATTTCCATGAAGCGCCTGAATTCTGATTTATGCGTCTAGAAAGAAGCGGTTATGAGTCTTTCTTTGCCCTGGTAACTGGATATTTTCACCTCTCTTTCTTCCGAATGAGAAATGCTGAAAAGTTTCCATTGTGTATGATTATTATTGTTCGGAATAGTGTTTAATATTATATATATATATATATATATATATTAGTGAATGAGTACATTGATCGATTGATTTGTTTAAAATGAACTCTGTGCAAGTATGTTAAAATTGTTTCTGTAGGTATATTTAATAATGTCTTTGGGCTGTAAGCAAGCAGTTGATGAGAAGTCCACGAAATAAACAATGATGGTACCACTTTATTCCATAAAACTGTAATTCTTGCTTTGTTCAAACTACTCAATTACCTAGGCTAAAAGGAAATGAAACGGGATTCGACTCAAGGGCCCTAGTAGCTGAAAGTCCATATCCACATATTTAAACCAATTGCAAGCATATTTTCCCCCACTAAGCCTAGAAAAAATAGATTAGTATCATACGTCCACACATACCATACATGCATATGGTGACATTCAACCCACTACATGATCAACTCCCAATACACGAAAATCTCCTAAACTCCTGTTTACACCCCTCCCCCTCCCCCAATAAGGAGAAACCACAACAGGCAGAATAGTCAAAATAACAATAATACTAGTAATAATAATAATAAATGAGACATGCATTTAATGATAATAATAATATAGATAAATTAATCTTTCCAGTAAAAAATACCAACAAATTTCTAATGTAAAGGTATCAAAAGAATAAATAAATAAAGATAGAGAAAAAAAAGAGAATGAAAACACACACATACACAGAGAGAGAGAGAGAAGAAAAAACTAATCAATCTGTGTTGCCTCTCTTCTCCCCCTTTCGCGTATTGGCATTTCAGATGACAAAACACAGCAAAAACAACAACAATAACAAACTTATTACAACACTCCATCTGTTTGTTTGTTTTGTATATATATATATATATATATATATAAGAGAGAGAGAGAGAGAGATTCAACTGTGACTTTGTCTCTATGTATGTATGAGTGCATGTGTATGTGTGTGTGAGAGAGAGACAGAGGGAGATAGACGACAGTGCAAAAATATTAGTGAGTAAGTACTAAAAAAGAAAAAGAGAAATGAGATTGATGATTGCTGGCGTATTATTCTAAACGATATACAGATATATATATAAATTTTTATTAAAAAAAAGATATAAGAAAAATAAAAATGAAGACAACATTAGCTAAACTACTTAAATGACCATTAGTAGTAACAGTACAATATGTACACATCTTCCATACATCTATAGAAAGAGGCAAAAGGAGATAGATAGACAGATAGATCGACAAATACATACATAACCGGGAGTGAATGAGTCTGAGAGAGAGAGAGAGAGAAAAAGTGAGTACAATAAAAGTATGAAAGCGATAACACATTTGCTTCATTTCATTTTAGAAATAAACAAATAAGAAACAAAAAAAAGAAAACAATCTTGGTTGTTATACATACATACATACATACATACACACACACACACAGATATGAAATACATACACTTAGATGTACATAAATATATATGACATTCGACAGAAATTAAAAAAGGGGGAGGGAATGAGAAAAATATTAGTTAATAAGTGCCTTTGAACATGAAAAAAACTATGTCTATATGTATATATCAATAATTTCCATCTATTTTGCAAGCCTTCTATAATATTTTCTTAAAAATGAGAAGAGTATTTACATGAAAAAGAATAATAATAATAATAGTTAGAACAGTTTATGATAGTTCTCGAACTCACACCACAGAGTAAGTTGTTCTACTGTTGTTGGGGGTTCGGGTTGTTGTTGTTGTCGCTGCTGCTGCTGCTGCTGGTGTGTAATGGTACTCAAAGGCGGAGTAGGAGTAGTAATAGTAGTATTAAATGTTATATTTATACAGATGTGGCGCAGCAATAGAAAACACATGCACAATATGCATGCATACATACATACATACATAGTACTACACCCAAGTACAATAATAGTAATATAGAAGTAATAATGATGATAATAATAATAATATGTATATAATATATAAGTATGTGTCTAGATATATGTATATAAAAAGTGATCTATTTAGAACGATTATTGATTGTTTCGCTAAGTCTACTTTCTGTTATTGTTGTCACATTATTATTATTATTACTATTATTCATAAAATTAGTATTCGTAGTAGTAGCAGTAGTGTTAGGCATGGATAATAAATCACTGACAACAGGTGATTGAATCAAATTAGGATCTTTATGATCATCATCTGTGGAATCAGATCCTAAAGTGATTGAAACTGTCTTTCCCGAGAGATTTGTAGTTGAGCCTTGTAAGCTGGCTGCAGTAGTAGTCGTGGTAGTGGCGGAGGCGGTTACTGAATCAGACGAATTATTATTATTATTACCATTGCCATGATTCGGTGTATACCGTTGTATATCACTGCGTAACAGTTCCATTAACAATGAATTACTTGACAGGTAAGCGGAGAGATCTAAGTCGACAAGCATTAAACGTGCAGCTTGACTTGTTTTGTGCAACTCAGGGATACGATTAATTAGTTTGTTGAATTTATCATTGATATCAGGTGATGATTTTGCAACATAATCCATTAACAGTTCACGTACGCATTCATGATAAGATCGTACTTGAGAACTGGCTTTCAAATTACTCAAATCTAAAACAAAACAGTATGCAAAAGTATAACAAATATTCAATAATGAATACAATAATAATAAAAATAATCAGTGAGATGCTCACTAGAGACTGGTTCTATTCAGGTAGGTAGTTACCTTGGGTTCCAGTGGGAAGTCGTGACCAGTACGGTACAGCTGGTCGGGGGTGAGGATAAATACTCGCCGAAGACATTGGCTAGCTGTTGTGCTATATCATGAATTGGCAGAAGTCCGAATTCATGGGCCATTGGATCGGGTCCCAGTGGCTTAATGGTCTATGGGCTCGCTTGTAACTAACTAGAAGGACCTGGATTCGAATCCCGGTGGGTGCGTACTGCTGAAGAGTCCGAAACTAGGACAAAATAGCTATCCAGTACTCCCAGGTTTTCCAATGGTTCTCTAACCAATGTCAGCTCATGATGAAATCCTGCAACCAATAAACTAAATCCCTACAAACCAATACTTGAATATCAATGAGATGCTCACTGACGACTGGCCTTATTCACACAGGTAGTTATCTGGGTTTCTAGTGAGAAGTCAAAACCAATAGGGTACAGCAGATCGGGTGTGAGGATGGACACTCGCCAATCAATACACAAAGAAAAGCATGCTTACTTCGTTTTGCAGAAGCAATTACCACCATCAAAAGAACTTCAACTCAACCTATTACACAGAAAGATAGTGTGACTAATCTCTCACTACGCTGATAACCATAAGTGTTTTGTTCTGTTGCATAACATTCCACTCAATGTTAACTTTGATTTTCACACACTGAGTTGAACTCATTATTATTAAGGTTCCAAATCTACTACTAAATATTTTTGTCTATCTTAGAATTGTATTTCACCATTCACTCCCACCCTCCTAAACTCTCCACCATAACGTGTATAAATTCACTCTGTGGTTGTCTACTTTGTATTTTGTCTCTAGTTCACCCTTGTTTACAAGATAAATTTGAATTCCACCTATTTCTCTAATTAGCAATATAAATAGTTACTCTTTTAACACTAAATAATAATCGTCTACGTACATCATCTGTGGAATTATGTTGCTTATACTTTTTATCTATAACCACAAATCATTGCAAAAAGCATGTTCAGACATCATTTTGTAATATATTATAATTGATTTATTTAGGATGTGCGCAGTTGAAGAGAATCCACTAAATAAAACGAACTCGTATTATATTCTGCAGATAATATTCGTTTTTTTTTCCTTATTTAAACTAATAAAGGGAACCGGTTGTATGAAATTAGTGTCATGCATCTAGCACTTTGTTTGGCGTAAACTGACTGAATTCTATCAGTCAGATTTGTAATGTGGCCACCAGGCTAGGTGACTCTCCTCATCACGCTGCACTCTGCATTTTTGTTATTAGCTGGTTTGGAGGCGAGCGGAAGGAAGCCTTTTACCTAGGTTTTGTGGTTGTTTGCACTCTCATCAGTCAAGTCAGCAAGGAGTATCTACAATCTTGAAGAAACTTGGGTCCCTTCTGAGATTCGAACCCATGTCACCTACCACCCAGTGTTGCAGTTACCACTGAGCTGTTGGGGCTCGTGTGACTGACCTACTGTAGGACTATATTGGATATATTGTATATATGCATTGTACTTACTATCATGCTAATGGAAATCACACAATCCTAAATAATCAGCGAATTGGAGTGGAAAAGTAAACGCTCTAATAAGCATTCCTCAATTGTTGCCGTGTTTTTCTTTGGAGATTTAATTGATTCTAAGGTGGATTTCGTCACAAAGATAGGTATCACGCTTGAAGGACCACTGAAAAGCTGGGGAACAGAGAAAAATCTCAAACTAGAGAGAAATTGTTGTGCATCAACCCCTGGCTTTCGATGGTCCCCTAAATAATGTCAGTTCGCGAACTGAATCCACACTGAAACTAATACACAGAAGTGAAAATTCATGAAAAAGAGAATTCTAGGGGTCATCCTGAGATGAAGAAGTAGGAAGGAGCCATTTAATCATCCAATCTACTTCATGGAAGTGTCCTGCTTATTCAAATGGATACAAAACACCACACCAACATTTCGAGGAGATTAGGCGAAATGAAGATAAGACCAACGAGAAACGCCTGACACTAAATACTTATTCACACTTTGGGTCCTGTAGGGATTTCGATTAATTTTAATGCAGATCTCGTCACAAATCGAAAGTTGAAAAATTATTGAAAACCAAGAAGCACTGGACAGCTGTTTCAAACTAGTTTGGGAGTGTGCATTTTTGAATCCATTAGGAGTCGAATCCAGTACCTTCAGATCCTTAGGCCGGCCTGTTCGCGACTTAGTCATTGACTGGGTTGGAATCCATTCTCACCCATGAGTACTAACTCCTATCAATTCGTGATATAGCGAAATCACACCATTTACAATGCCAGCTAAAAATCAAAATATTCAGCAGTCTGTTCCACTACAATACACTGATGTTAAATACGGTTACTGGCCGTAAAATAGTACATATATACACACATATATCGTTGAGTGAGCAACGCCTACATAACGCAGATAGTCCTTGAAAAGAAAAATTAAACAGCAGCCGAGTCTGCGTCGAAAAGTCAAGTAGAACGTGAGTAATGTGTACAACGTACCATCCCAACCGACATCCGTCAACATGACGTGGTGGTGGTGGTCGGGTTGGCACACTACAGTGGCCTAACAAGCTACACTGAGTGGAGATCCTACCATCCCAGAAAGGTTAGACTAAAACTAGTTACTAACATAGCTTACACCGCTCATGCTATGTTGGAGGTCTGTGGGCAAAGTCATACCACTAACGGGTAAGGGATGTAACAGCATTAAGGTGTTTCCCTGAGATGACCACCAGCAAACCACCTAGGCTGTCTCTCTGCTCTGGGAAGGTGGGGTTAGGAAAAGGTTGACCGGGAAAATCCTATATCCGACTTTACCTTGAGATGGTCTGTGACCGAAGGTAAGATCCCAGTGAGAACACAACTTCAAAACACACTTCAAACAGACTGTGTATGACTGGCTTCAAGCAGTTGTCCCTCAGACTCTGCTGTCATGAAACACTAATGTTCTCTGTCTCTCTCTCTCTCTCTGTTTTAGATATCCCAAGAAGAAATCAGTTAGGGAATGTGGTGTAGAAAGTGTCACTTTTGTGTTTATCACAATATAACATAAAACTCATTCGCAGTTTAACTCAATTTGCTCATTATATGTTGACGATGAGAACATCAGTTGAGACAGATATGGCCCAGAATCACAGTACAGCACAAATTGACTCCAGTTAGAGAACCAGTGAAAACCAGGGAGCATTGGAGAGCTGTTTCGTCCTAGTTGGTGAATCTTCATTAGTACGCAGTCATGATCCCACAAAGGATCAGAACCGGGACCCTCAGGTTACAAGGAGAATTCGTTGACCATCCCCATGCACTGGGGATGCGTATCCAATGGCTCATGAATGTTAACTTCTGTCAGTTGGCGAATTATAGCGCGATAGCCAGCCAATCTCATGTTGATCAAGACTTCTCACCAGGACTGTAGTGGGTCACTAGAATAATTTTCAAGTCTTGTGGTCTGCAGAGATCTTGTAGTAATGAAATAACATTGAATCTATGAATGTAAACAACTACAAGCTAACTTCATACAAGTAAATTTATCCCCAGATGAAAACAAATTTCCCATTCACGGACTACTAAATATAGTTGTATACTGAATGAGTCATTTGTAAACTAACAGTAAGCAAGCTGATTTGCTTAAGCACAGCCTGAAGGTCCCGGGTTCGAATCCTACTTCACCTACTTCAACCTGGACAACAGAACAGTATATCATCAGCCTCCACATACTAACTGTGGCCTATAACCTGATAAATGAAGCATCCGTCCAAGGTAATTTGGTTTCAAACAAAACAAATGATAAGCTCCGTATGGGCGAACAGCCTATTTTGAAGAAATAGGGGTAAGAAACTGTAATTTACAGTGTCCGAAGTTACAAAATAAAGCCGGTTATTCTGCAGTCAGCACGAAGAACAAGGTTCGGATTTTCAGCACTAATGTCAATCTAGTCAGTGCTTCAATACAGTTCAGAAACTTGCCTCATGCGTTACCAAAAGCATTTCTGTTATAAATGCTACTGCAGACTTTGATTCCCAGCTTCCTTCGTTCCTTATCGAGGATCAGATGGTCAAGAAAGATAATCAACAGGGGATTCTGCAGCACAACCAACCAACCAAGAACCTATTGCCCGAAAAATATGTCGGAGATGGATTGGACATGAACACCAAGGAGACCGTTGAGTGGCATTGCGGGCCAGACAGTCCCTCAAGTGGAACCCGAATGGGAAACGCCAAGTTGGATGTCCGAGGGTGACACAAAGGAGATGAAAATTTATCGATAATCTTGGAGCCAAAGGACGACAGGATGTGAAACAGAAATGTCCTGCTGAAGCCCTCAAAACCCAAGGGAATAATTATAATATTGATAGATAACACAAATATTTAACAAATAAAATGACAGCTCAAGTCCTTAGAAATACATTTCTAAATCTAGACAATTTATAAGTTCATTGGTGGATGGTGACTAGCAGAGGAATCCAGTCAGGATGCGCATTTTGTCCTATTTAGGACTCGTCGGCTGGATGTGCCTGCATTCCCCAGTGAGTGATAATGTTCCCACCAAGGCTCGAACCCAGTGCCCATAGTTTCAAACGCCAAAGCGTTATCCACTAGACCACTTGGGCCAAGAGAGCCACTGCCTCTTGTGCAACGGGTCATATTAATTATTTATTTGAATTTTAGATTTTCCCATCGATTGATTGAACCGAAGTGCTCAGACATCGTCGAAGCATCTGCACAAGAAGCCAACAGACATGACAATCTGAGACCGGGCACTTCGATCCAATCAATAGACAGGGAAATCTACAAAATTGAACTAGACAATATATCCATAATAAGGGCAATCGAAAACCATGAAATCGATGAAACAACAGAACTCACCAGGTTGCATAAGAACAATAACTTTCAGACATGCATATTCTACAACATCCAATTGTAATCTGGTTAAGGATTGTGTTAGTTGTAAAATTCTTTCGACTATTTCTTCTGCACCCATTTCACGTGCTGCCTCAAGATTGATACATTTACTTGATGTAAGACGAATTTCCTAAATAAAAGAAAAGAAAAGAAATTTATATATACATAGATTACAATATTGAATAGAATGTTTCTAAGGTTTATAATCTAAACCATACACAATTTCAGGTAATTTATGCATGCATAAAGTGATTGGATTGACTGACTGATTGACTGGTTTAAACATAGAACTTCGCACAGATGTGCAGCAGTTTGAGTTGCCACACTTCCTCCTTATAGTGCAAAAAGCAAGAGAAGAGAGTAAAGAGAGATTCAAGAGAGAAAGATAATAAACAGCAGACTGCGTGGGCGGATGCGATTAGCAGATATATGGTCTAACCTTCAAAGACACGGCCGCAAAGAGATGGCAGATTAACTTTCAGCGAGAAAAGAACCAATCAGAAGACGCTGTTTCTCTACTAATATTAACGAATAATAGTGTACATAAAAATATATAAATATCTCTTGATTTCCTCAATAAACGATTTGTTGCCTGGCCCTTGTCTTCTATCGCTACAGTATAATTTGTCAGATGCAAGCCAAACCGTCAATGTCTCTCCTAAGATTAAATTACATATCAAATAACCAACCAAACAATCACTATCGAAAAGAGAAATTTGGAAGAGGTCACTTTACTTATCTAGACAGCGTCAACTCAACTGCAGATAGGGGCACGGAAACGCAAGGTAGATCATTACACTGAAGTCAGTGAGGAAGTCTTTTGAACTCAGCCTGAAGAACAAAATTCGGATTTTCAACACAAATGTTAAGTCAGACAGAAACTTAGTGCGTCACGAAAAGCATGTCCCACAACAGGCTGACTCAGACTTTTATCAACAGCTGCCCCCTTCACTGGCTCTAATACTGAAGATCGGATAGCCAGCCAGAGAGAATCAGTAACAAGAGACTCTGGGAACAAATCAAGGAAGATGGATCGGACGCACGGTGAGGATGTCTGTCTGTCTGGATTCAACATAGAACTTGGCACCGAAGTGCAGCACTTCGAGTTGCCACCTTCCAAATAGCACACAAAGGTATACAAGAAGATGAGTGAGGAGAACAAATACAGTCTGACAAGTATAAGAGTGAAACAGAATGGGTAATGGTAGAAAGGAATATGAAAGATTACAGAGACTGAATACATCTGCGCTGGCCATTGACAACGATTTTGAGCCATGTCACCTATTGTCTCCACCCATTGATTCCTAGAGTCCCAAGGCCCCCGACCCGGGAGTCTGCATCTCCCTACCTGACTCAGTTTAACTGTCAAGGATTTCATGGATTGATGAGGCCATGTTTTTGTTTGGCCACCACTGGCTCTTTTCCAACCTGCACCTATATCAGCCAGCAATTCCCGTCGGGGGAGGCGGTGGTTAGGCATGCGCAGCACGTCACCTAGCCATCCCAGTCTATGTAACTTTATAGCTTCGTCGATTGATTTTCCCTCTTTACCCAACACTCTACGCCTAACGTCAACATTACTTACCTTATTAAACCACCTAACGTGAGACAGGGATCGCAGACATCTATGATCGAAAGCAGTCAACCTTTTCATGTCTTCAACGCGTATTGGCCATGTTTCAGAGCCATAGACAAGGATGGAGCGAACTGATGAGCAGTACACACGTCCCTTGGTTGATAACCGGATGTCACGCCTACGCCAGAGATGGTGTAAGTCAGCGAAAGCAGCTCGAGCTTTTTGGATCCGTGCTGAGATTTCGCCGCCAATCAGTTCGTTGGTGCTAATACAACTTCCCAAATAGGTGAAGTGGTCAACATGTTCTATCACTTCACTCCCTATCACTAAGTTAGGAGTTGACGTGGTCCAGTCCTGTAGCAGCATCTTACATTTTGTAGGGGCGAATCGCATGCCAAACATACGGAGATTGCTGCTCAAGGTGTTCAGAAGACTCTGCATTTTGTCAGCATCCTCCCCTAACAGGACTATGTCATCTGCATATTCTAAGTCCATAAGACTATTCCACGGTGAGGATACCATTGGGTGACATCGCACACCCGGTAATCAATCGCATGGGAAACAACGATTAGGGCATTCGAGGATGATATAAAAGAAATTGTGTGAAGTGATGGAAATTTATGGACAGTTGTGCAGCCATTTGAAGATGGTTGCAGAGAACAGGTTGAAGTGGAGATGTAGATATGATAGAAAAGATTTGTAGCTCATGTGGATGATTTTGATGTGGTTGTGTTCTCTGTGCTGGATAGTTAATTTGCGAAGCTTTCATCACCCTACTAGGCGACATTTTCAGCGCATACTTCAATTCCCTGAAGTGAGCTTTTAGATTTCCTCACGAGTTTACTAATCATCTCTCCTGGTGACCACCTTGGAGGTGATTGGTTGTTTTTTCACACCTTCTAGGTTACTTGTATTTGAACTGATTGTTTCTTTGACTTGAACGTTGACCCTTTGTGTGTGAGGTTTCTTTCTTATCGGTTGATAAATTTTGTCTATCTCGATGTGTCTATTGATTGACGATTCACTGGAATGCCAAGCTTCTAAAAATCCTCTATTTTTTTTATTACAGCTTGATTCCACACTGCATTTTTGGTACAAGTATGGAATTTTCAGCATGGATATCGGTAACCCAAATTTTGCAGGCCGACCATAGATATCAGGTGTGCGTCGGCGGGGGATCGAACCTTGGACCATGTGCATGGTCGGCGAGAGTCCTAACCACTGTGCCACCGACGCATTCTTGTTGTTTCCTCTGTCTAATATGTGAACGTTGTCCCGGTCGAATTGATGCCGATGGTTGTCTGTATGTAGTGATATGAGGGAGTGGATAACATGTCTTTTGACAGCTAGCTTATGTTCGTGTATACGAAGAAAAGCGGACGTCCACTGTGCTGTTGAAGCTCTATGTTCCATTTGGAACCCAAGGAAATGATAAATAATAATAATACCAAAAAGCGCTATCTTTAAATCTTAACATTTGCAGAGAAGAATTAAAAACTCACCGTGGGTGTAGGTAATGAACGCCAACAACAATCAAGACATAGTAAATCTGCCCAACAATTTTGAATTAAAAGTATTTGATCATCGGTATCAAGTAGAGAGAAATCTGGAAGAGCTCTAGACCAACGTACAGTTCTATACAAACGTTGATCTGCTAAATTTAATAGGGCACGATACACGGCAGCTTCATCCTCTGAAACACCTTCTGGTATGGGAGTGTCTGATCCAACTGAAGCATCGATTTCCAATGCATCCTCTGGTTCCGCTTCTATAGTCTCCTCTACTAAGAGGATATCGCGAATAATCTAGAGTATATACATACGATAAAATAAAAAAAATACACACGTTATCAATGTTGAAGACTATTCAAACGTTGACTTTATTCAATATGGACAAATATATTCTTCGTGAAAAAAAGAACTTTTATTCTCCTTTTCTTCCATTTTTAAAGACGAATGTTGAAATAAATCCTTTCTTTCCGCATCTAATGTAGATATCATGCATTCAAAAGTTAAACCGCTTTAGAAGGTCAATATACTAAAAATTTACCCCTAAAAGTCTATTCAGATTATGCAATGTTCGTGAAGATTTTGAATTAATTTCAACTGCTACACATTCATCATCGAAGGCATTGATTGAATGTAGCCCTATTTGATAAAGTCAGAATCCATGGATCATCGAATTCCAACCCAGTTGGCTGAATAGTTAGCGAGCCTAGCCTGATGGACGCGGGTTCCATCCGTGGTGAACAGTCGTGGGTTCGCACTGTTGAAGAGACTTAGTACCGGGCTAAGAGTCACACTTATAATCTGAGGGCTAATGATACTACCCAACAAGTTACTCATGCTGAGGTAGGTGGGGCGGGGACTCGAACCCGTGACCAATCGATTGATGCTTAAGCCAATGAACCATATTGCAACCACACTGAAGTAAACTACTAACTATTGTTTGGACTCAATTCCCAGAACAAGTTTTTCATGTTTCAAAGTATGGAGTTACACATTAATGTACGACAGCTGATGACATCATTCAATCAGCTACCCAAGCTGATGTAGAAGAGGCAAGATTCGAGCCTAGGATCTGCTGGCTGAAAGCCGACAAATTAAGCCAATAAACCACGTCTCCACGAGGCAAACTGACAGAAGAAAATCGAATGTCATCTAGTAACCAGGTGGTCATGAGTTAATAATATATGTCTAAAACTTGGGCACTATGGTACTGCATATAATTCTATATTATTTATAATGAAGGTTTTTGTATTTCCCAATGAATGAAAAACAAAACGATATTGTTTTTACTGACGTTTAGCTATTTAATGCTATATTATTTAGGCTATCAGATATATCTCACAGTGAAACAGTATTATTTACTTGCTAGATGATATTTCGAACACAATGTATTGTTCATAGTCATTTCGTCGATTATAACTATACAACTTCGAAACTTGATTTTTACAGTTCTCTTTATTCCTGTTTCTCGTGCTCTCAGTTGGTTCGATAAAAATGAAGCTTTTGTTAGCAATCTTTCCCTGAACTAAGTTACATTAGGTCTCAATACTGTCATCTTATCCTATCCTAAGCTAGATTTTGCTAGGTTTTTGTGTTCTCCTGGTCTGATTAATCTTATTCTACTACTTTGACCTGGGTAAATGCCCTAATAATCATCGCTGGCTATTAGATTAACTAAATTATTTTATTTAGTGGCCTCGACAAGATCGTTTAACCGACATCATTTCTTTCTGAGTGGATTTGGAGTGGGAAAGGGGGGGTTAAATACCACTTTTATTCCCGCTTTTGTTAAAAAGCCTACTTAAGGTTTCAGAGATTTCATCTTTGTATCGAAGCACTGTTACATTAGTAGTGGGAGAAAATGACAGTATTAAAGTCTAACACAACATGGCGGAGAGGGAGATTGATAACGAAAGCTTGATTTATCAAACCAAGTGAGAACACGTGCAACAGGAATGGCTCAACACACTTCACCCGGATACCCGGAGATTTTTATAACCTCAAGGACAGATAGGAAAAAATGCAGAGAACTGTAAGAATCAAGTTTCGAAGTTGTGTAGTTATAATCGATACATCTGTGTTATACATCTAACAAAGAAATCATTATGGTCACGAGTTACACCTAATTGATACAGGTAAGTCATACTATCTCGTCAGGACCTCCTGAAACTTCGATAGTTAGAGGAAGGTTCGAACACCGTGAGTAATTTTTGGTTAAAAGTCAGTGAGCTAGGTCTTTTGATATATTCAGAGATTCACTGTAAAAATTAACTGATAATTTCTACGCTTACATTAAAAGAGTGGCTTTGTTACATATCCCTGCTAACTGAAGCGTTGTAGTTCGTTGCTATGGTGGTTTAATGACAAATTGCATTTTCTGTAGGATATTATATTCTTGAACTGTGCTACATTAGTTGGACTTTTATCAGAAAGTATTGCTTGATACTGAGAAATGTAATGGAATATGTGAGGTAGTAAGTTCCAAAAGTTTACCGTATATTATTGATTTTTCATGAAATCCAGCTGGTATATTTTGGCCTATTTACAATTATTATTATTATTATTAATTCCTTTAATTTCTAGAGGAACATAGGGCTTCAGCTGCACGTCTCCACTGCGTTCGATTCTCTGCTAAAGTTTTCACCTGGCTCCACGTCTGCCCACATGCTTTCATCTTCTTTTCACATGACCTCCTCCATGTCATCCCACCATTGGACGACCAACTCGCCGCTTCCCTTTCGGGTTCCACTAGAGCAATGGCTTGTCTAACGATGTCACTTGATGGTTTGTTTTCTCAGAGTATGGCCAATCCACCTCCATTTCTTCCTGCCTATTTGCTGCACAATCAGTTCCTGATGAGTTGGTTCGCTCCCAGAGATCCCTATTGCTGATCTTTTCTGGCCGGCCATCTGATCTTGAGTATTAATTGAAGACAGCTGTTGATGAATGTCTGTAGTTTGTTTGAGGTGCTCTTTATGATGCGCCAAGTCCCTGATCCGTATAGTAGCATTGACTTCACATTGGAGTTGAAAATCCGGATCTTATTTTTCATGCCAATTGCTGCTGACCTCCACACAGACTTGAAAAGAAAAAAGCTCGTTTTGCTTTCCCGATCCTTGCTTTGATATCCTCGTCAGTTCCGCCTGTAGTTGAAACGATGCTCCCCAGGTAGGCGTTGGTGGCATAGCGGTTAGGACTCTCGCCGACCACACATATGGTCCGGGGTTCGAGCCCCCGCCGACGCACACCTGATATCTATGGTCGGCTCGCAAAATTTGGGCTACCGATATCACATGCTGGAAATTCCATACTTTTACCAAAAATACGGTGTGGAATCAAGCTATAATCAAAATCAAAAAAATAAATAAGGTAAAGGAGGTTGCTTCTTTCAGGTTCCTCCAACCTATTTATTGAAACGCCCTAATACTCACAGGATAAAGGTGGTGCCACTTCAGAAAGAGGGTAATGCCATACAACCGCCCACATTAAAATGTTACAACTGACAATTACAAGTACAAAAAAATGAGTGCACAGGATCACTAGTACAGAGCGAATGATTCCAACAAAAAGCAACTTCTTTAAATAGCGCAGCACAACAAAAATAAGTGTAAAACAAAACAACCCTACCTTTGGGAGTTGTTCTCTCACTCGTGGTATTGATTCATTAGATCCGCCTACAATTACTTGTCTATATGGTGAAACAACAGATGTGGAAATATTTGCACCACCGACAATCCCATTACCACATTCCAGTATACTCGGTTCAACACGTAAACTCCCAGAGTCTATTTCTTCATCATCATTATCATGTGTACCAAGAACACCAGGATCTAGATAGACACCGCCACCAGCATCCTCCGAGGCTGGTAAACCATCAGGACCTAGTGTATGCGCAGCTAAGCCAACAACAGAACATGACAGTTGATCTCCATCATCTGACATTAGACTTTGATCTGTTAACCCGCCTAGCATATTTCCATCCATATCTGAAGCTGAAAAGTCCATAGATGAATTAGATATACCTAGGCCAGAATTGGAACGACTACCACTAACACGTGCTGCAATTTGACGTAAATAACGCGAGCCAGGATACATACTACGTCCTCCACGAGTTCGATCTGAGCGGATAGCTAAAAGAAGAAATCATAAGTGTAGTTTTATTTCAATGATTCAAAGCTAAGATTTGAAGAGGAGAGAAAAAACGGCTAACCGACTGAATAAATCGACTTAATTATAATTCGAGACATCATTAGTGTTACCTTTCAAAGAAACAGGCTTCTTTGGCATGGATATTGGAAAAGTAATACTTTTAGAGGTTTTATCTGGCGAAGAACTAGAAGGCACACAAACAGAATCAAAACACAATGTCTTGTAGTTAAGATAATAAGATGGTGAATATAAATTGTGCAATTAGTCATAAAAGTAGTAATGATAATAATAATAATAATGGTCTTATCAATAATGAAGATGAAAAGTGAGGCAGTCTGTGATAACACGAATAATGAAAAACAGTACGATTAAACAAACAAATTGTTCAGGTGGAAGTAGTCGATAAAGGCTAGTAAAAACAAATGAACCGATTAAGTAATGCTAGACTGATTGTAAGGGAAGGAAATGAAACACGTTTATAACGAAGATGTGATAAGATTAAGGGATGATAAGAAAAGAGTTGAAAATATAAGTAAGGGGTGGTGTGGAAGTCATTAGTTGGTTATGTCTTAATAGGCCAAGGGAGGGATAATGGTTGTACGAGCTTTTTTTGAATGCATAGTTTAGGTTTAATAGTTCGAATGCCTATCGCCTCAGCTGTGTGCAATAGGCGAATACGAAGTCTATTTGAAAGATTCGGTGGGATACGATGAATTACTTTGAAGGCTTTCGTTTTCTCGACTAGATGACCACTATCAATTAAATGTGACAAAATTGAGCTACGGATTGTTGTTTGTCCATCCTTTGCCAAACCACCACGATGGGAGATGTTCACTAACACGTTGGCTAAGCTGGTCTAGTAGTACGCTCAACATAACTATCACCGCAGGTGCAGTTGAATTGATAAGTGCACATAGATGATGTGGCAAAACTATCAAGCTTATCCTTCGTTTGCGTCCCAATCATTCGACGGCTAGTGAATGACACACACAGGTGTGCTGCGTAAAATGTTCTTCGTATACTCTTTGAGAGTCTTTGGAATAAAATGTCACCATTAAATTGTAACTTAGTAAACACAGGTTCCTTAAGTGCAGTCAGAGTCTCAAGATTTTTTTATCTGATGTTTTCATATGTTTTTTATGAAACTACTCGGATAGCCCATTTCCGTCAAGGAATCGTGAATACATTCAAATTCCTTTTGCAAGCGGTCATCCGTACATATCTTTCTTGCTCTGCTCGCAAGACATTTCACAACATTCCTTTTATATTTAATGGGCATGTAACTAAAGAAGTGTGTGTATTACCCTGTGAATGTTATTATTACTATTATTATTATTATTACTATTATGACTATTATTATTATTGTATTATTGTATCCTTTAGTTCCTAGAGGAACATAGGGTTTCAGCTGCGCACCTCCATTGCCTTCTGTTTTCTGACAACTTTTTCACCCCGCTCCAGGTCTGTCCACATGCTTTCATCTCCTCTTCGCATGACCTCCTCCAAGTCACCCTTGGACGACCAACTCACCGCCTCCCGTTCGGGTTCCACTCGAGGTATGGCTTGTCTAGTGATGTCACTCTTATACTTGTCAAACTCTATTAATTCTCTTCACTCATCTTCTTGTCTACCTCTGTGGGCTATTTGGAACGTGGCAACTCGAACTGGTGCACTTCGGTGCCAAGTTCTATGTTGAATCCAGACAGACTTGATGGTTTCCTCAGAGTATGGCCAGCCAAACCATCTCCATTTCTTCCTGCCTATTTGTTGTACAATCGGTTCCTGATTGGTTCGCTCCCAGAGATCCCTGTTGCTGATCTTTTCTGGCCATCTGCTCTTGAGTAGGTCTGAAGTTTATTTGAGATGCTCTTTATGACTCGCCAAGTCATGCTGATTACTGTCTGTTGTTGTTGCTGTTGTTTTCGCCCAGTAATCTTCATCACCTAACTCTGTCTTCTCTATCTTCACCATAAAGTCCTATCTTTGATGCTTCTTCTGCCAACTTGTTGCTTTTCACTTGCATATCTTCCAGTTTGTGTGAAATTAGACACATATCATCGGCGAAGCCCAGATCCTCCAAATTTTTTGTGTGAGTCCATTTATGCCTGTTTCCTCATTGCCCCGCCGGCTGCCTGTCGCATTATCCAATACACTGCAATCAGGAAGATCATTGGTGATAGTAGACAGCCTCGCCTCACTCCCGTCCTCACTTCAAAGGCTTCCGTAAGTTTCCCGTTGTGGATTACTTGGCATGCAGCATTGTCGTACAACTAACTGTTGGATGAGATGTATAATTGTCGATGGGACCCCGTAGTAGCGAAGTAGTTGCCAAATCACCTCTCGATCGACGCTGTCTGTCGAAGGCCTTTTCAAAGTCGGTGAAGTTGAGATAGAGAGGTGACTTCCATTCCAAGCTTTGTTTAATGATGATCCGTAGTGTGGCGATTTGATCAATACATGACTTGTTTCTCCTGAATCCAGCTTGTTCCGGTCGGAGTTTTGCATCCAGGGCTTGTTTGATTCTCTCCAGGATGATGCGGCCTAGTATCTTGCTTGGGATGGACAGGAGTATAATTTCGTGCCAGTTCTTGCATTGACTTAAGTCTCCTTTCTTTGTCAGTTTGAATAAGTAGCCTTCCTTCCATTCCTCGAGTACCTTGCCCTCTTTCCACACCTTCTCCAGCGGTGGCGTCATCAAGTCCGCTGTTGTCTCTGGGTCTATTTTCAAAGCTTCTTCTGGGATTCCATCTGGTCCTGGTGCTTTTCCAGCTTTTAGCATCTTGATTGCATTCAGGACTTCTGATTTCGTCGGGGGGTCAATGTTCACTGGTAGTTCTGCTTCCGTTGTTGGTATTGTTGGGTGTGTTGTAGGTGGTGGACGATTTAGAAGTCTTTTGAAGTGTTCAGCCCAGTGTTTTCTTTGTTCCACCTCTTTGGTGATTGACTTTCCATTGTCGTCCTTTATTGGCTTAATCTGTGTCGAACGTTTGCCCGAAAGGTTCCTAGTTGTTTGGTAGAGTGTGGCGAGGTCTCCTTTGCCTGCAGCCGTGTCTATGGGAATATTTAATATATTGTACTTTAGAGTATAATTCTCCAGTCAACACCAACGAAATTTTTCACATAAGTGCGGCTAAAAAATACTTTCACTACTACCAAAATTTGGTAGGAAGAGGAACAACAAGGTAGCAGTGCCGACTGTAATAGGTGGAGTTCAAAGACAAGGTTCAACATAAAGACAAGTCAAACAACCTGGAGATCGAGAAGTTGATAAAGAAAGAAGACTGACTGACTGACTGACATAGGACTTTGAACAGAAGTGAAACAGTTCAAGTTGCCACTCTTTATGAGGCAGGCAAAAGCAGAAAAAAGATATTGAAAATGACTATGATAAGCAGAAAATTGTGGAACAGAGCATAGCAATATATGAAGAAACATTAGGGCTTAATGGATTCTGTTGAACGAGAGGTTCTCTGGAGATGCTTGGCTATGAAGGGAATGCCGAGAAAATACATTGCACAGATCAAGGCACTCTACTAGAACTCATGCAGCCAGGTGAGGGTTTACGGCGAGTTGTCGCCTGAAGTGGTGATGACTAGTGGTGTCCGTCAGGGATGCCCATTATCCCTATTTCTTTTCAATTTCATCATAGATGTACTGATGGGTTTAACCCTAACTCACTTCAGCGACTCAGGGATTGACTTGTTACCATCAGAGAATAATCTCGTTGACTTAGAATATGCAGACAATATAGTCCTTCTAGGCGAGGACGCTGAAAAATGCAGAGTCTCCTGAACAACTTCAGTTACAATCTACGAATGTTTGGCATGCGATTCGCTCCCGCCAAATGTAAGATGATGTTACAGGATTGGACTACAGTGACTCCTAGTTTAGAAATAGGGAATGAAGTGGTAGAGCACGTTGACCGCTTCACTTATTTGGGAAGTACCATCAGCCCCAACGGGTTGATCTCTGACAAAATCTCAGGACAGATACAGAGGGCTAGTTTCGCATATGCCAGTTTACGCCGTCTTTGGCGTTGACGTGATATCCGGCTATCGATCATAGGTGCCTGCGTTTTATCTCCCGTGCGAAGTGGTATTAATAAGGTGAGCAATATTGTGGTTACGCGTCTAGTGCTAGGTAAAGAGGGAAAATCAATCGACGAGACTGTGAAGTTACGCCGATTGAGATGATTAGGACATGTGTTGCGCATGTCTAGTCATCGCCTTCCTTGACGGGTAATGTTAGCTGACATAGGGTCAACCTGGAAAAGAGCTAGCGACGGTCAAACCAAAACAATGGGTTCATCGATCAATGAAATCCACAACAGTTAGTTTAAGCTAGCCAAGTAAGAAGGTATAGACTTTCTGGTTGGGGTCCTCGGGACGATAGAAACCAGTGGCTGAAGACAATCGCTGATATGGCTCAAAATCATTCTTAATGGTTGGTGCAGATGCATCCACTCCTTGTGACTTATGATTTCCAATGAAACTGTTTTGTTCTTCGTTATTACTATTCCTTTGTCTCACACCTCTGTTTACTGTCTCTATTATGCATTTCTTCTACTTTCTTCTCTTACTTTGTGTGCTATATGGAGTGTGGTGACTTGAACTGCTGCACATCGGTGCAAAGTTCTATATCGAATACAGACAGGGTTTAATGGGTAACACTTTTGAGCTATATCTCCAATAGTCTCCAGCCATTTTGTTCTTAGAATTCCTATAACTCCAAACAGGAAGCCTGCACCTCCCCACATGGCTGGCTCAAACTAACTGTCAACGACTTCATAGACTCATTACAGGCTTTGGTTTGACCACCTACAACAATTTTCCAACCTGATCCTATATCAACTAACATTGTCCATCAAGAAAGGTGATGACTAGGCGCATGTGTAACATATATGCTACCCATTTCAATCGATGTAACTCCACAAACGCGTCAATTAACTTACCCTCCTTACCTAGCACTCAACGCCTAACCACAATATTATTTATTACTCATTTTATTCCTTTACGTTCGTGACCGAACATAGGGTTTCAAGCTAAGGCTTTAAAATTTCGGTAGCAGTAGTGTTCATTTTTATGAGATGGGGTTGCTAGCCACCTTATGCCCAAACTTCCCTCTTTACCAGTTTTATTATTTGGCTTAGCGAGGTAAAGGAGTGCGTCGGTCGGGGATTGAACTGAGGACCACACGAAGCGTGATTGGTGAGCATTCTACCGCTGTGCCACCGACACAACTTCAATATTACCCACTCTATTATACCACCTAACAAGGGAGATAGACGCAGATATCCATGATCACAGACAGTTAGCCTTTTCATCCTATCCTCCACTTTTAATGTCCATATATCACAACCATAAATGGGGCATCCAAAGAACTGCTGTGCACATTATACACTTTACTTTTACTTTACTTTACTTCGGCTATCTCCTACGGGAGGATGAGCCGGCTTCATGAACGTCTCGAATCATCGCTGCCCAGGCGCGGCGATCTGAAGCAAGGTTTTGCGATAGGGATATCCAATTCTTGTTCCACATACGGAGTCCGTAGACCGTTTGTAGCCCCAGGCACTCCATATCTGCCTTGACTGTACCAAGCCATGTCTTCAGCTGTCCGCCTCTGCGACATCGCCAAGATGGTAATGGCGAGGGATTTAGAACTGATTTGACCAGATCGTCATCTGGTCGGCGCAGAACATGGCCAAACCACCGAAGGCGGCGTTGTTGGACCAGTACTGGAATTTGGTTGATGTTGTAGCAACGCCGACGCACTTCTTCGTTGGAGAGTTTGTCCTGCCAACGAACATGCAGAATGTACCTGAGACACCAATGGTCTAATACCTCGAGTCTGCGTAAATCTTCCGCGCGAAGAGGCCAGGTTTCACAGCCATACAGCAGAACGGGTCGTATGGAAGCTTGGTAGATCCGAATTTTAGTCCTGAGACTGATTTCTCTCTTGCTCCATAGAACGCTCCTCAGCTGTAGAAACGCATTCCGGGCGTTGGAGATTCGCGCATTCACTTCGTTTTTCGCTTGGCCGTTGGGGAGCATTATGGATCCCAGATATCTGAAGGATGGCACAATTTCAATAGGTGCTCCATTTAAGGATAAGATTTCATCATTGCCGGTGGATGTGTTCGAAAACATTTTGGTTTTGGAAGTGTTAATTTTCAAACCGATAGTAGACGCGAGGTGGTTTATCTGGTCGAGCGCCTGTTGCATATCGGGGAAGTTTTCAGCTAACAGCACGACGTCGTCGGCGAATTCGAGGTCGGTTATGTGAATATCGGGCGAAAGTTGGACGCCGTGGTGCTCGGTTAGGGCGTGCCGCAAAATCCAATCAACTGTGAAATTGAACAGGATGGGGGATGCTGGACAACCTTGCCGGACACCGCTGGTTACCTCAAAAGTGCGGGACTCTTCACCGTTCACTCGGACTCGAGCTTTGGTGTTGGAGTAGTATGACCTGAGCAGGTTGATTAGCTTGGTCGGAACTCCGTCGAGCTCCATTAGATACCAGAGTGCTCCTCGATCAACTGAGTCGAATGCCGCTTGGAAGTCGATGAAGCAAGCAACCGTCGGCTGTTGGAATTTGTCCCTGTGTTCCAAAATTCTTCGCAGTGTGAATAATTGATCAACACAGCCTCTTCCAGGTCGAAATCCGGCTTGATTTGGCCTTGTTCGCACGTGGCGTTCGGCCGCGAAGCGGTTCAGGAGAATGGAAACAAAAACCTTAGCAGCGATATCAATCAGACTTATGCCTCGGTAGTTCTCGCATATTGACCTGTCTCCCTTTTTGTGGAACGGTAGCAGAACTGAGGTGCTCCAATCGGAAGGAATGGTTTCGGACTCCCAAATTGAGCAGAACAGCGAGTGCAGTGCATCGATTAGCGCTGGAGTGCAGGCCTTGTATATTTCTGGGGGTAGACCATCTTCGCCCGGAGCTTTTTTGTTTCTGAGTGTGTTAATTGTTTTAGCTATTTCGGTTGGAGTGGGTGGATCGCAGTCAACTACGTAGGGTGTTGGTAAGTGTCGTATCGGTCGATGAGACGGTTGACCAGCGTCGCGATTGAGTAGCTGCTTGAAGTATTCGGCCCATCGTTCCATCTTACCATTGGTGTCCGAAATAATTTCTCCTGATGCTGTGCGTAACACAGCATGACTGTTAAGGCGTTTGCCAGATGATTGGCGTAAGAGGCGATAAAGTTTTCCGAAATCGCCTACATTTGTTGCTGCTTCCATGTTAGTCGCCACGTTAGACCAATAGCGATTTCTGTCGTTCCTAGCAGACTGTGTAGCTTTGCGCCTGAGGGAGCGATAAACTGGAGACTTTGCTAGGCGAGCGTCTCTGGCTTGCGAGGATAGAAGCATGGTGTGCTCTGAAATCCAGTCTTTCTGCTTCTTGGATGTGGTACCCAAATGCGTCATTGAAGCTTTAGAGACTACTTCTTTGAAATGATTCCATCGTGTCTCGGGTGTATTAGAAGATGTGGATGTTGGTTCATCTGCGGTGCTTAGTTCGGCCTGGATTTGTTTGGACAAGGCTTGTCGTCTTGTAGAACATTGAAGCGGGGCAACATTGATACGCTTCGGAGGTCGCGTCTTCTGGCGTGTCGTTAAACGAAGTTTGAATTTCGCCCTAACTAGAGTATGGTCTGATCCCCCTTTATTTCCGGCCTCTGCTCCACGATAGGATCGACAGTCTTCCACCGAGGAGATCCAGCGTGAGCGCACTAGGATGTAGTCGATCTGATGTGCAGTGCGACCGTCGTTCGAATACCAGGTGAGAAGATGTTTTCTGGGGTGTTGAAATCGAGTGTTGGTGATATATAATCGATTGTAATCAGAAAAAGATAAAAGTCTATCACCATTACGGCAGCGCTGATCGAGACCGTGTTTGCCTAGTATATGTTTTGTCGCGTCGTCTGAAGGGCCAGTGCGGGCGTTCCAATCGCCGGCTACTATGAGAACGTCACGCTTTGGGATTTTGTTGATTGCCTCTTGAAGATTGTCATAAAATTCGTCTTTGATACTTTCATCAGAGTCGAGGGTTGGGGCATAGACAGCGAGAACAGAAATGTCGAGCGGGGAACCCTTGAACCTAGCGACTGCAACTCTGGAGTTGACCGGTTCGAATGATATTAGGGCATTATTGGCTTTGTTACTGAGAGCAAATGCTACCCCATGTTGTCCCGAATTATTCTGGGGGCCACTATGAAGCAACCAGAATGAAGAATCTGTTCCAGGAACGGCTATTCGGCGGGAGCCATGATCGGGTAACCTCACTTCAGATAGACACGCTATGTCTACCTTGTAGTCATATAAAGAACGCATGGTGATAGACTGGCTACCAGGATCCAACAGCGTCCTAACATTCCAGCAGCCAACAAATAGTTGGTTTCTAAGTGTTAATTTCCCAGCTAGCTTACTTTTCACACTGGCCACCGGGTGAGCACAGGGCGCGTCGCTTACCGGGAACGCCGTAGCATGGTGAGAGTTGTTTGTAGGAGAGTTCATGAAGTTTCTTGGGAATTTGGTACGAGTGATGTCCCCAGCATCGCTCGGCATTATACATTATACACGTCGCTTGATCGATAGTCGGATATCACATCTACGCCAGAGATAATGTGGGTTGAAAAATGCCACATGAACTCTTTGTGTCTGTACTGAAATTTTGTTAGTAAACAGTCTACTGTGGGGGGGGGGGGGGAGCTTGATGCAACTTTGCAAATAAGCGAAGTGGTTACAACAAGCTTTACCACTTAACTCTCTATCTTTAAGCTAGGAGTCAATGTAGTCCAGCATTCGAAGATTACTGCTCAAGGTGTTCAGAAGACTCTACACTGTACTACTGCATTTCTGTTTTACCGAATAAAATCATTCTATTATACGCTACCATAGTGACCAAAATCCTATTCTTATATCGAATAACCCTAATTCAAATTCATGGTGAATACTCCAAAAATAAGATTTACACTCACCTTCGATACGCATTCCTTTATCAACGCATTTTAGGAAACGACAAGCAGGACATTTTTTGCGAGTATTTATATTTATTTCACATCGTGAAGCTGCATTAGGACGATGACAAGCATATCGTTTGGCATTTTGAACAGTACGCTTGAAAAAGCCTTTACAGGATTCACAGCAGAATATACCATAATGATAACCGGAGATTTTATCACCACAAATTGGACAGGGGCCAAGTTTAGTGAACTGTTTAACATACTGCTGCCAGGTTGATTCACGCTACAAATTATAAGAAAATATTAAGTAATAATAATTAAATATAAGACTGCAGATTTTCAGTAATTATTCATACGCTAAGGCTGACTGACTGATTTCAACATAGAACTTTACACTGATGTGGAGCAGCTCGAGTCTCTACACTTCACTCAGCACACAAAGCCAGAGAAGAAAGTAAAAAAGAAACGCAAAACAGAGATATGAGGCAAAAAGAATAGTAATATCGAAGAACAATATAGTTTCATTGGGTATTATAAGTTACAAGGAGCCGATGCGTCTGCACCAGCCATTGAGAACGATTTTGAGCTACATCACCAACTGTCTCCAGCTTTCATTGGTTCTTACCATCCCAAGGACACCAAGCACCTCCCTACTTGGATGGCTGGCTGGCTTAAACTAACTGTTGTGGATTTCATTGACTGATGAAGCCATGTTTTGGTTTGACCACCACTGGCTCTTTCCCCAACCTGACCCTATATCAGCTAACATTACCCGTCGAGGAAGGCGATGACTAGGCATATGTAACACATTTTTTTTTATTTTTGATTACAGCTTGATTCCACACCGCATTTTTGGTACAAGTATGAAATTTTCAGCATGGATATCGGTAACCCAAATTTTGGTGCAGATGCATCCACTTCTTGTGACTTATAATGCCCAATAAAACTATGCGGTTCTTCGATATTACTAATCTTTTTGCCTCACATCTCTGTTTACTGTCTCTGTTTTGCATTTCTTCTACTTTCTTCTCTTGCTTTGTGTGCTACATCGAGTGTGGTGACTTGAACTACTGCACAGCGGTGCAAAGTTTTATGTCGAAAACAGATAGACAGACCACGCTAGCCAGAACCTATCCTGCGGCTAAGCTGGTTCCCGTCTATCGGACAACATCCTCTTTGGTACAATCAAAAGTTGACAGATACCCTTCTCATGTTAACTCCAACTGTGTATACAAATCTACATGTATTTGCGATAGCAGATAAATCGGGAGAACAGAAAGAAAGGCACTTTGATTTTCTGAACATGCTCCAAAACACCTATATCTCAAGGGAACAAGTGCTTACAATAGTGCCATCACTAGACATATCTTTGATACAGGTTATGACTTGAGCATTGCGAAATCCTTTAAAACTATCAACAGACAAAGTCTGCTGAAGCAATCGCTGTCGAACGCCTGAAAGCGGATTTGTGTATTCGTAAAGCAGTAGTTATGAGTGTTTCCTTGCCCTGGTAACTGGATGTCTTTATTCTCTAACATTCGATCATGTAGTCTTTGGTTTCAACCAACCAACCCCTTATGCACAGCATAACTTTTGTTTGTCTCTTGTTCCTATGATCTGAGCTGAACTCATTATATTGTTGCTCAATTTATCAGTTGCTCATCTTACTCACCTCTTGTCTTTATTACGTAACACTTGCCAATGTATTCACGAATTTACTTTTGTTTAAACTTGAACTTTCTGGAAGCTCTATAAGTGTAATTTCTGAGCACTGTTCATTACTGACAATATAGGCACTCTCACGCACTCCAGTTTACCGAACACAATCACAATACCACAAATGTACTTATCACACACAGGATTTTCATAATTTTTCAACATTTAAAAACCCACTTTGATGGAAACAGACACGAGTATTTTCAAAAGCTATTTGAGACCTAACATGCTGGTCTATGAAAAGCACCAACAACAGACACAGAGAGGTGCCAAGGAATTTAGGAGAACAATACTTTATACTCAATGCTAAAACCACAATCATATTCAAATAAACACCAGGGACAATAATACCTGAGGAGTTCCAGATGATGAAGAGCCAGACGCAGCTGCATTCGCGGAGATCGTGACCAGACCGACTGAACTAGACTGACTTTGTGATGACCGTGATCCCACAGAGTTATTATTTGAAAATAAATCAACGCCAACATTAGAACCAATTAGACGATTTGAACCTGTACTGACTAGGGTTGTACCACCACTGGAGACTAAACCATTTCCGCCTCCAGAAACGTTCAACGGTCGTAAAGGAACTAAAGTGGTTCCACCACCGCCTGCTCCGCCTGAACCAGAAACAATTGTGTTTGTTGATCCCAGGTGAATACCACTTCCACCGACTGGTTGTTGCAGTAGAATAATGCTGCGATCTGATGAACCTAAATTAAGAGTATTTGTATTTTTTGTAGAATTAGTATTAATAGTTAATCCGGGGTTACGAAGTATTTTATGCCCTGAAAACCAAATATGGTTGTTCACTTTATTAGATTTAGTTTACGAAACTTAAATGAAGTATGATGTAATCTCGTGATAAGTCACAATTCTACAATTTGGTTATTTAAGAAATGCTTTATTTTTCTTAAAAAAGAAATAATAATCATATGCCTAAAACCTGAGTAGCATAAATTATCAGCTCACAGCCTGATTCTTACTTTCTTCAATAGACATACAACAATGATCCTACATGACGGTCAATCGCGAGCCTGAATACCTCAGTGGTAACGTTTCTGACTACACTACTGGGTGAAACGGGTTCGAATCTCAGAAGGGATATGTATTCCTTTAAGACTGCACATACGCCTTGCTGACTGGTAAGTGACAAGAAGCATGAAACCAAGATCTAAGGCTTCTTATTGATTGCCTCCAACTATCTAATATCTCATGTATATTCGTGCTGTATGTGATAAACGGTCTAAAGTGACTAAGGAACACTTACAGTACTGTAGATTTGTCTTCTATAAGGCTGAAGTAGTTAAGCAACACAAATGACTATTATCCTATTTGGTGACTAGCACTGCTCAGCACATATCCTGTGGTGAGAGCTAGCTGTTAGTCAAAGTTGGTGGACAGTAATTTACGTCAATGTTTATGTCCCCAATATTGGTCGTCAGAAAAATGAGAAGAAAGACTCTGCGTAGGCGGATACAGTTAACAGATAGATGATCTGACATTCAAGATGCAACCACAGAGATGCAAGGTTAACTTTCAGTGAGAAACAACCAATCAGAGGACTGTCTTTCTGCTAACAAAAATCTATAATATGTACATGAAAATCTATAAATATGTGTTGATTTCCTTAATAAACGATATGTTGCCTGACTCTTGTCTGCTGTTGTTACAATCCTAGTCCAAAACGACAATAGCAACCTTCATCCTCCCTCCCTCCAAATCCGAACAGCCGTTTGATCCGAATTAAGTCAAAAAGCTTTAAATATTTACTCCAACATTTTCCTCTTAGTATTATTATTGTTGCTGTCTAACCATAACAGCCCAAATCCGTCAAATTTCTTATTTTTCTTCAGTTTCCATGGATCAGGACAAACAGCGCGATCTCTCGCCGCTAAAAACTGGATTCATCTCTTTTCAACAACTACAAGGATCTATAAACTTTTCCCGCCTCTGATTGACCAATGAAAAACAAAAACCGGAGCAGGTATGTGGACGAATTAGTTTCTTTTTGAACTCAGACCCCAGAACTTTCTTTCATGTCCCAGACTACGAGTTAAACTTTTATTGTGTGAGAGCTGGTGGGTGATACAACGCGGTTGTCCATGCTGAGACAGGTGGAGATGGCTTCGAACCTAGGACCCAATGACTGAAAGCAGAGCATGCTTAAACCAGTGAGCCACATCACCATAGTAGAAAAAATCACAATTTATACATCAACAAGAAGAAACATTTATAACAGTATCTGTCGTAATCTAATGGCGTTTAGTTCAAGACTAGTAACCGTAAACCTAAGCGGTTATTGAGGCTTACAACATGCTCTACACCTGGAGAATGGCACAAGCGAACGCTAATCTTACATGACTTACATTGCGAAGTAGTGTAAATCAAAAATTAAAATTTCACAAACCTGTTGTAACACTACGTATAGGCGTGCTTGCATACACATGATTTTCTGTACCACTTGCTAGTTGGGCTGCTGGGACAAGTATATATGTAGGCTGCTGTTGAATATGCTGTCTAGGAGTACTGGAATGAGCGGCTACTGTTTGTTGTTGTGTTGCAACTGTCGGAAATGAAATTATCTGAGTACTAGAGCTGACAAAAGAAGGCATAGTACGAACAATTTGAATTCCATCAGAACCCGGCTAAAAGAGATAAAATAATAAATAAAATGGCAGATTAATATTGCAAACAACTTTAGTTTTATACTGTTGAAGGAAAAAATACCTGCAGTATTTCGAATTATCTTTATGGAGTTTTTCCGATTAGAGATGAGTGAATTATAATTCCATTATACTGTAAGAAAATGAGTTAGAGATCAGGTACTCATTACTGGGTTATAAGCCGCAGAATATTTTGTAAGTGCTAATGATACTACCAAGTTTCTTAGGTTCAAATACGTGGATCGGGACTCGAACCGTGGTGGGACCCATCAACTGAAAATTAAGTACCTAAGCCAATACGCCACAACTTCACAAGAATAGTGAGTTTTGGGCTTTAGATCACGCCCATGCAACACAAGAAATTAGGAGAGGGTACTACGTTAGAAGTGAAGGCGGTGTACTGGATGGTTGTTTTGTCCTACTTTTGAGCTCTTCAGCAGTACACATCCACGACACCATCAGTAGGCGTATAACCGAGGACCTACTACAGGAACAGAATCGAATGGCCCATGAATTCTAACTTAGCGGTAGAACAGTCGAAATACCAACATATCTACAGACACACATGTCTGAGGACAATTTTAATGAGTACTTTGAGATTAAAATCACAAGAAATATGATAGTATTTACAGTCACAAATACTGCAAAAAAACTGGAATGCTTTTATTTTTCAGGTTATTTTGATGCATTTTATCCCTTATTACTTATGAGTAGTAAGAAAAATTACTTAAAAGTTTGGGAGCGAAAAATATCATACAAATCTCAATAAGGGTGAAAAGGGATTACAAAGCATACAGACATCTTAGTTTTTAGTAATGACTACTTTAGCAACTATGAGAAGTTTTATTCAGACAAAAATCAATAAACAGCACAATCGGCCAAAAAAACAGATTCTCATAGAGATCATCACAACAGGACCATTTTCTTTCTTATGAAACTATAGAAACTCAGACGGTGAATAAATGCTATCAGTTTATTACTTACAACAATCTACTACATAACACTTCAAGGGTTTACTTATCTTCCGTTAAACATTAGCTTGATAGTATCAGTGAAATCAGATGTGTGCAATCAGAGTTGAGGTCTTGTCAATTGTGAAAGTAAGGAAGGTTATAAGACTATGACGGTCTACTAATAGTAGTTGTTGAAACATGATAGCTCAGCATTATTAGCTGGAGTACTCGGGAGAAATGCACGACTTCTTTCACTTTATTATATCTCTGATTATTTTATAACTCATAGGAAAATGGAGACTAGCCCCTCATTTGATCCCCAGAGTCTTCTACCAATGCCTTACTTAAGCATTCATAATGGTGTCAGAGCCCAAATTGAACGATAATCAAACATGAACGTACAGTTTCTTTCTGGATTTATCGGAGTTAGTTTCATCATTTCAAGTCTTTCTTCAAAAATCTTCTAGTGTAATACAATGTAGTTCAAAAACTATAGACAGCTTTTTCCTTTTAACCTTTGAACTAACAGCTAGTCATAACATCTAACAATCTAAGTCAGCTAGAACTGGCGATCAATAAGTCAAAGATGAGTACATTGCGGCCACAAGGAACCCAAGCATATCCTTATTATACAAAGACGGTGAATATAACCAACACTTCAAATATACAGAGGATCTCGGTGAAAATCCTTAGGTAGCACTCAATTGAAGTCATATAGACGCAAGACGTCAAGGATGGAAGCCACAGAGTATCTCTACAATTAGAGACTGAGTATTTTGGTTAAAATTTACAAATAGATATAACCAGTATGAAACCTGACAAACTTCGCTTAGTATATCAGTTAAAAGCTATTTTAAGGCACTGTAACTGGAGAGAGAAACTTAGAACTAATAAAAATAACTGCTAAAACAAGAGGAAAAACGACAGGGATATCTAAAGATGCATAGAGATAATAAGTATTTGAAAGTGTAGATGATGTGGCACTTATGTATTTGGGACCAGTTTGATCCCTATTATGCCATACCACACTAAGTTCCCAGTCACTGAAATCTGCAGTTCACTAGGAGATTCAAACTAACAGTCATTGCTTAACCGTCTGTTTGTTTTCTGTGGCGATTTCAATTTTATTTCGGTCAACAATTATTCGATTTAAACACTATGTCGAGTGGAACAACATACTCAAGTATTGGTTTGTAGGGACTTGATTGACTGGTTACAGGATTTCATCATGAGTTAACGTTGGTCAGAGGACCACTGGCAAACCAGAAGGTCCTAGGTTCGAACCCCGGTCGGTGCGTACTGCTGAAAAGTCCCAAACTAGGATGATACAGCTGTCCAGTACTCGCAGGTTTTCTAACCAACGTCAACTCATGATGAAATCCTAGAACAATATATATCAAAGGTTGGGGCATTCCTGTTGAGTGAAACACTTATACCCGGTAATTTAGTCTGTCTGAATATTGGCTTTATATTGGTGCCATACACAAAACTCTTAGTATTTTGTCCCTTTGAGTTCCAAGTGGAACATAGAGCTTAAAGTTTGAGTCTTTAAATCTCAGTAGCAGTGGTGTTCGTTCTTCTTAGGGGGTGGGGTTGCTAGCCTCACGCCCAACCTTTCCTCATTATCAGGTTTAAAAGTACATAGACCAGTAACCGAACCCCGAACCACGTGGGTGGTTGGTGAGTATCCTATCACTGAACAACCGACGTTAACTGAGTCAATCAAATTGTGATTTGACACATAAAACGAATGACATTAAAATGACTTGTGATATAAAAACTATGCCGTGTGCTTAGTACTAATGTCTCACATCTACATAATAGGGTTAGGCATAATATAGCAGCATTATGCACTTAACCCTTGACACATATTAACATACACACACAAAAGAGAAGCACAATTTCAACTTGAAATAGCACAATGTGAAAGCTAAAGTACAAAAATATTCATGAACTTATTAAAAACCTGTTGTGTGAAACCAAAAATAGGAAAAATGTGTGTGGAGCGTGATTATGTTTAGAATAAACAACTTGATTTTTCAAATCGCGAAATATACCATTAATTCATAGGGAACAACAGTTTTTTGTTCAATGAAGAAATAATTCTTTTTTAACGATTTCACTTTGAAGCTGTACAGTCGTATTCATATTATAGAAAAATATAATGGTTCTCACCCACCTATACTTTTCACTTCTTAGATGTGATGTTAGGTATAGGAGAGGATGACACCTTAAAAAAAGTCGATTTATCGAAAACCAACATTCACAAGGCAGTGTACACTAACTTCAACAGTTGGGTACCTCTAGGTAGGTGGAGAAATCCTGTTCGTTTTCTATGCTACAGAATTCAGAAAATTTTCTCAATAGATGCGGTCACCGTAGAACTAGAGAAATTTCGCACAACTCTCTTAAATAATGGATACCCTAGACATATCAACAAAGAAACCGTCCCCAGTCAAATCACAGTGCTAGAGAAGATACTGTTTATGAGTTTGGCATTCAAAGGTGACACTGTTGCTGAATTGACTAAAAGTCGTTTATCTAAATGTATTGAACGTTCTTTTTAAGCGGCTGACCCACATTTAGTATCTACCAGCCGAAATATGATTCGACACTGCGTTTAAGACATACCACCGCTTATATCCACCTATATGTATATATACTCATGCACATGCTCGTGTGGAGCTGATTACATTGGATGTTGTAAGTATGTTCTCCGTAAACGCGTAGCTGTTTGGTTAATGAGAGGTGAGCATAGGAGGACGAAGTCTTCAATCTTTGCGTCGGTGGCACAGCGGTTAGGACGCTCGCCGACCATGCAAATGGTCCGGGTTCGATCCCCGGTCGACGCACACCCGATATCAATGGTCGGCCTGCAAAATTTGGGCTACCGATATCAAATGCTGAAAATTTCATACTTGTATCAAAAATACTGTGTGGAGTCAAGCTATGATAAAATAAACACCTTCTAGAGTCAGGTCATTTAGCCTCACGTTACTGACAAGACCAAACCCAACCATTCCAAAAGCTTACGTTTTCTCCACTTATGCATAACCAAAGCCCTAGCCATACATGGACAGAAATCTAAATTATATGTTCAAAAACGTTTTGTTAAACCCCTTTCTTTACTTTGGTCATAGTAATGTTCTTTTATTTTATTATATTTTGTCACTTGAATTTATTCCACTTCACTTCATCTTCGCCATTTTTACTGCTACCATCATCACATTATTAGTTTTTTTAGACAACACTTAACCCACTATTTTAGAAATCTTTACACCAGTTCACTTATTTAATAATCTATAAGTTTTTTTTTAATTCATTCACTTCAACTCTACCCCCTTAGTACATAACTAATTATCTATATTCTTATCATATGTGTATACTGACTAAGCAATTTCTAGAACCTGATTTTTGCTGTTATTATTGTCTTTAGGCCTTACTATTCAACACACTGACTCATCACTCATTTTTATCATCCAGAAGACACCATACATGAGATCCAGATAAAAGTTGGATGTTTGTTTGAGGATATGTGTTGTTCTAAACTCACTTTCAAACAATTAATTAGCACCTAAGAAGACGATTTATCTCTGGTCTAAGCGCCTCCAACCTCTAATATCATACTACAACAATATGCTGAAGAAGGCATCTTATTTTAAAATAACAGAAAATTTGTAAAAAAAAAAAGAAGTTAGGGTGGGTCTTATTGTGTTCAAGCCAATGGGTAATAAGGATCATTTATCTAAAGCTTTACATACTGTGTAGCAGCTTTAGCTTACTCTAAAAGTCTAAATGGAATTTTGTGAAGGTGTGTATAAAACAATCGTCATTGACAAAGCATATTAACGCATGAGGATGACAATTGAGGTGGGGGGGGGCAAGAAACCTAAGGAGGCGGAATTCGAACTACTGTTTAGTCGATAATAGCCTGTAAAACACGCTAGGGAATATTATCCAGGCTGATTAGCACAGGGAGAACGCAAATGTGTACATAGTTCGACAACAAAACACCAGGTGAACTCAGGACATCCGGGTCCGTTTGAAATATGCACCGAAGTCATACACAAGATCAGATTACACCTCTCAAAAAGGATTGAAATTAAACCATCTAGACATACATAAGGCATTAGCGATCCAAAAGTTCAAGCCCACGCTATGCATTCAAAAGAAATACGCTCAACCATTGCTTCTACCATGGCCATCAAAAAAAGTCATCTCCTGCTATCTTTCTTATCCAGTCATTCTGTTTACTTCTTTTATGTTTTTTAACCCCGGCCTGCACTACTACGTATTTCATCTGAACTTCCTGTCTACTTCGTTATTATTACACCTTTAATCCTTAAATGCAAAAACGGCCAAGTTTCTCAGTAATTATGATCCTACTGTGTATTCATCTGATCTTTCAGTTTGTTACACATTGCAATTTTATTAATCTGACCCTTGGCCGGACACAGTTCTGGAACTTTCTTACGCATTCACTACAAGTACACGAATGTACAGTACAGCTGATGATTTGGTCGAAAAGATTTTCTTCGCTGCAACTGTCTTTTTAGTATTTCCTACAACAGCTATGAGTAAAACTAAAAGCAAAGGCAGACAAGAACACAGTCTTTACACAAACAGCTGATTACACGGAAAACAAAACTAAAAGGGAAGGTTTATAAGGTAGGTGATAACAAGGCGTATTCTACGCTGTTCTAATATTTGCAAATCAATACTTTCAAAAGACTTGTACCAGAAGATGAAACAAACAACAAACCAGGCACACTATTTTATCAGTTAATATTTTAAATGCCTTTTTCATAAAACTTACGCTACCAACGTGCAACACACGGTGAGGGTTACTTGAAGCCATGGTCTGTATTTGTGGAGTACAATTGGATACAGAAGACTGTTGTAGTGAGTTTTCCAGTTTCGGTTGGACAGCTTGACCACCTGACTTACCGGTGAATTTGAGCTAGAATTATGAGGATTAAGACCAGAAAATACTCTTAAGTTACGCATATTTAAAATTATGCTGAGTAAAGCTTGATCAGAACAACACTTAACACAGAATTATTAGTCCCGGACATAAATTTTGTACAACAACCATTTGAAAATTACATCATGAATTAGTATCCATATATATATATATATATATATATATATATATATATATATATATATATATATATATACGAGGAACACAAATGTATACGTTTAAAATGTCACAAACAGTGAATGGCATCAAATACTGTTGTGTAGCCTAAGTTGTCATGAATTTGATGACCGTAAGCCAATAATGCTTACCGTAAAGCTTACAGGCACAGAAAGGACAGATATAAGATAGCGTAACGGTTACAGTTATAATGCTTAACATATGTATAGTTAGGATTAGGACTGAGAATGAATGTAATCAGAAAGATTTAAGAATTAACTAACAGGTACAGACCATGAAGATGAACATAAATCGTCACCACTGAAACAAATTTCGAGTCGCTCCAAGTACTCTGAGACCATAATCATATCAATTGTGATATTATAAACAATAAATTTTGTTCGAAACGTCATCCAGTAAATAATACTGTCACACTCACTGTGATACATCTAATAAACAAACTAATATGGAATTACTTACTACCACAGTGCCCAAGTTTTACACATATATTAATACTCTGAGACCGTCATTTACAACTGATTTTATTAGCAGTCACAAAAGACTTATCGCTAGAATAGAGGAAAACTAAGTTCTTGAAAAGCAGTAGGGTTACACTGTAGGGGAGTGGGTCACTGACTAAAACGCTATGCTTCAGGTCAATGAAACGCTGGTCCTAATCCCTCTCCGCCCATCTCAGACTGGGCAACTAGGTTTTATTATCAGCCCTTACAGACTACGTGTGACCCATGGTCTGGTACACAAGATATCCAATCCACCTAACGAAGCTTTAACCGAGATCAGTCCGGTGAAAGCCTAAACTTCCTCCAAAACCTACGGCAATGTAAAAAACCACAATGTATCCCAAGTTAGGATGAAACAAAAAAAATAGTACAGTTATCTATGAAAATGCCTGTGGACAACATGAAGAACTCTACATTTCTCTACAGTAGAAGAGGATGATTAGTATTGAAGTGAACCCCTGATATGTGATGATAAAGCAGACAGAAATATGCATTCAAACCTGAACCGTCTGGCTGGTTATCTTAAACATTCAAGTTAATTTTTCAGTCATTTACATATGACACATATCTGGACCACACTTGTGCTTTATTTCTGAGTCACCAAAATTACTTCATGCTAACTGGAAAAAATAATTATCTTAAGTAAGTTCGCAACATATATGCATCGAGTGTACCGGACGATTTGTAAGCGGTAACTTAGCATGGTGTATTTCCCAGTTTGGCCCCTCAGAGAATTTGTCTCAAGTCAATCAGTCAAGTCAATAAATTTTGTTGTCACACTAATTCTACTGGAATACATGCGCAAACGGCTTTCATCTCTTATACAAGACGAACATTTGGCTGAATCAATCATAAATACACCAACAGACTTTCAGATAATCTGTACTAAATGGAACATTCTATTTAGTAGACTTTCTAAGTACTAAGTATGTGCTTTTTGTAGTGTATGGTTTGCTGTATCTTCCTAACCTACAACACCTGTGCATCATAAACTCCCAAAGGCTGCTTAAAATACTTACCGACGAACCACTTGTTTACGGTATCGAAAACCGTTTAGTATCCCCTTATCTTCAACAAGTCAGTGTTACGTTTGTAAACGCCTTTCTGCATAGAACACTTCAAGATTCAATAATGTCAGCTAACTAAACACTCAAGAAATCCAATTATTACAGCACATAGTCAACAGATACAAACTAAAAACTGGCATCTGATAGTAACAGCAGCGATTAGTAACTGCAAACGGATTCTGACACTCAAAACCAAGATGATGAAAACTTATGACGGGAATGTGAATATGTAGATAGTACACCGTCAATAGTTTTTCATTTGTTCCCTAGGTGCAACATGAATTTAAAAAGTGCCACTCACTATTTATGAGTAAAATACTATTATGTACATTTGTAAGAATGCACAATTAAAGTACCACTGTATCACAAGTATCAGTATATCAAATAAGAAAACCGTGGAAGACTGAATCTGTAAGATTAAGGGCAACTCACATCGATAACTATTTTGCTGTCTTCCCGTAGTTGTATTTGACCAGACTGAGATAAGTGCATTATAAGTTCCTGTAACTTCTGTTGACTCAGGGTTGATCCCTGCGTCCCATCAGGGAGATGAATTGTAACGTAGGTAGTAGAAGGCACATGGTCATCGCTGGCAGAAACCGGGACTACTGACTTTGGGGTTACTCCCATAATCAGTTTGTCTAAAGCCACACTGGCTTTAAGATTTTCATCTTTCAGATCGTCTTGAATGTCTGAAGGACTTGTGACTTCAGGTGTTGCCATTGTTTCATCCAACTCCTGGAAATAGAAAATAGGTCGAGAAGCATCCCATCAAAAAAAGCAAGCAAGAAGACCACATAAATGAGTAGGCAAGCTATTTCTATGCATAACTTTCAGCCACAAGGACGTCAACCCAAGCGACCTTCTGAAATGACCTTCGAAGGTCTTCTGAAGGGCATAGCCTTCACCTGGTTTGGACGTTTATACGGTGAAATACAGCTAGAAACGCTGCGAGGACGGGAAAATCATGACTATTAAATACATCCGTGAAGCCCCAACCCACCATAAGAGTAAATGCCCAAAAATGGCGGCCCCAAAGCGACAAAATTCAAAATATCGCGACACTGTCGAGGAAATATTAATGGTTCATTCAAAGTTCAAAAAGAAGATTGCCCTATGATGAACGTCTTGCAATGACAATGCACTGAAGCTAATCTTTATTGCTCAATAACGTTATTTCTCCCTCAAAGTATTATGTACAGTAGCTGCCTTCGTCAGGGTGTGATTAGTGTGAAAATTGAAATAAAAAAGCCATTGAATAGGTCATGTGATTTCGCAGTAGCGGCAGGTCGGTCAAAGAGATGGAAACAAAATAACACGCCTACTGGTGTTTGTGTATTTATACAACTCAAATTTCTCTCCTGAAACACTTAACTAAATCAAAGTGAAAGTATTTAATAAGAATGATGACTTAACAAAGAATATTCTCTCCGATAACTTCTTCTTCAGGTTCTGCCTGCAATAATGAAGTAGGTATTGTCGCTGACAAAGTTAGTGTCTTTTAAAAGTGACATCGAATCATTTAGGTCGGGATTCCAACAGTCATTCGCAAAAAGATTGTAGTCCCAAATATATGTATGCGATAATATGTATAATTGCAACACTAAATTTAACACCAATATTCCAGAGTAAATTATTATGAACAGCGATATATATATATATATAAAGCAGTAGATCCTCATGAGTCGTCTTCAAACTAGATTCCATCCACATCGATTATAAACTCGAAATGGATGAATGATAATCTCAAGGACGGAAGAAGAGAAAAAGTTTTGGATAAGGTTACTGTCAGTCACGTCTCGTAAACCGTTAATGCCCAGCTCTTGCTACGCTGGGACTCACGCTGTTCCTTGGAGTTTCTCAGAAACGCTTAGAAATAACCGACGCAAAAACTAAAACACCGATTGGCGACTCGAGAATTCTTTATTGTAACACCAACATATAGCCAACTTTAAAACTAAGCTTTAAAACTAAGGTCTACGAACAAATAGTACAAGTTGATCACGGATTGATATCAGTTAGAGAACCATTGAAAACCAGCACTGGAGTACTGCAAGACAGCTGCTGTTTCCTCCTAGTTTGGGAATCATCGGCAGTACGCACCCACTGGGTTTCGAACCCAGGACCTTCCGGTTACAAGGCAAGCTCGTATACCATTCAGCCACTGGAACCCGATTCAATGGCTCGTGAGTTCTAACTTCTACCAATTCGTGATTTAGCGCGACCCCAACCATTGTCGTTGGTGGGACATCCATCCACACACGTGACATCTAATTGGACCTCACTGGTTCTCTAACTGATATCAATCCGTGATCAACTCGTAAAACATAACTAATCCTTACAAACCAAACTATAGAAAGTTAATCTGATGCTCGCTAGTGACTTGCTACAGGTTGGAGTTTCCTGAGTTCTAGTGAGAAGTCGTGACCAGTGAGGTCCAATTAGATGTCACGTGTGTGGATGGATGTCCCACCAACGACAATGGTTGGGGTCGCGCTAAATCACGAATTGGTAGAAGTTAGAACTCACGAGCCATTGAATCGGGTTCCAGTGGCTGAATGGTATACGAGCTTGCCTTGTAACCGGAAGGTCCTGGGTTCGAAACCCAGTGGGTGCGTACTGCCGATGATTCCCAAACTAGGATGAAACAGCAGCTGTCCAGTACTCCAGTGCTGGTTTTCAATGGTTCTCTAACTGATATCAATCCGTGATCAACTCGTAAAAACATAACTAATCCTTACAAACCAAACTATAGAAATATTACAATAATAAATCACAATATTACTTCTGACGGTTTGCTGCTGACTTCTTTCTGAACAGCGACCGATGAGACGATGACTGTCGTATTGATGCCTCCGCGAAAATTGGGGAAGTTGGTTTTGAGCAAACAACCATGAATTGAAAAAATATTCAGTACCCTCTGCTCATACGGAACTCCTCCCTTCACCTTATGTGCTTATCGGAAAACTCCAGCCATCAAGCTCCCTTTTCAGTACTATCTTCAGAAATAGAACTTCTAAATTTGTCTATTGGAGAACTTAAGGCTGAGTTAAGGCAAATAAAAAACAGTAAATCAGTAAATGCTTGAATCATCGAAACCAATACCGAGATATCCAAATTATCATATCAGATCAGCGATATCAGATCGCAGGTCTGTGAACTGACACCTCTAACTATCCTCATAAAAACCGTAAACCTTAACAAACTTGACACAGAATCGGTAACTAAGATAGATAACCTCATTAACTTTGTTACCACAGAAGTAACAAAACGACTCGACGCAAAACTGAGTGCTATTGTCTACAACGTTCCGGACAATGAGGCACTAAAAAAGGTACAGCGCATCTTACTTAGTGAAGCGAAAATGCCTAACTCCAAGACTAAGTGCTACAGGCTGAAGAAGAGTCAACATGAAAAGTGTTGTCCTATTCGTTTTCAGTTCGAAACACCGGCAGAGACCAGAAAATTCATCCACTCCCAACACACCCTATCGCAAGCCAGAAAATACAAACACATAAAGGTCGGGGTGGAAAAAACAGTTATAGAAAGGCGCGCACACAACTATCTCACTAAGACTAATTGTGAAATAGGTAATAGGACATTGCAAACAGCCATTATTCCAAACCCTGTGAAAGATACAGTAGACTCCACCGCATCACCCCTCTCAAAACACACAGAAATATCCTATCAGAGTGCAACACCAGCCGAAAGGCCACTAGACTGTAACCAAATAAATAATAAAACCATACCACCCATCACCGCAGAATCTAAAATGCCACTAAATAACCCCAGAAAAAAAGTTAAAACCCCCCGAAATTCGACTTTGTCCTCTCCTAGCTATAATTCCATTGGTAAAGATAAGGAAAATATGCCCCTAAATCATACCAACAAAAACAGTGGCAGCTTAAATAAGCCCACACTCCCCACGGTTAATAGTATTAGCACTCACAACGTGCTAAATCGCACCGTGGCACACACTAATATCCAATGTCACAACGATGTCACCCTAAATAGCACAAGTGGTAATAGTCAGAACTCGGCTACCAACAACTCAGGGTCTTCAGAGTATGGCACACAAACAACTTTCGACCGGATATATGGTACAAGTCTGCTGGGAACTAACCCAAAATGCAGTACACACGAAACCCACACAAGGACACAACTAGCATCAAACAATAGGTGGAATAATAAGCCATGGTCATCACAAGGATCCAACCATTTTTTATCCCCCGCGTCCCTGTCAGCGTTGAAAAAACAGCTGGTAGGGATGTTAACACTCCTAAACCACTAGTGCTGGCTCCCTCCTTGCATGAAAACAGGAACGGTCTAGTGCACCCGTATCCATTAGACACACTTGACACTTGCACAAGTATAGGCCAAATAAAGAACCCTACCCACTTCTGTAACCTAACTAAAAGTAAAAGTTCCTTAGTCTATAGCAAATCCAGTACTCCAACTCTTAATTCTTCACCGAAAACAGCACACAACAACTCGATAGACATAGGTGAGCATGATGCTGGAACTCCTCTTAACATAGGATCGTCATGTCCAGCAGAATTACTGGGTGCTGAACCATATTCGGGGCTGACTAACGAACTTAAATACTTCAAATGCTACTTCAGCTCTCATCTTTACCTAATCCTCTTAAATGCTAGATCTGTTCTAAACAAATTGCCGATGCTCAGAGCACTCACAGTAATATACAAACCCCCTGTAATTGTCATCACTGAATCTTGGTGTCATTCGGACATCCTGGATGAAGAAATAAGCTTAGATAACTACACACACTTTCGGTGTGACAGGGAAGGTGGTAAGGGAGGGGGTTGTCTCATGTACTTTCTGAATGCACTTACTGTATCACAGCTAGAAAGTAGTACACTTAACATGCCTGAGACTCTATGGGTTAATGTACACTTAAATAACGTAACAGCATTAATTGGATGTACCTACAGAGCACCTGGCACCTTTAGTAATTACGAGACCCAACTTATTAATACTCTGGAGCAATTAACCGACTTACAATACGATCATAAGATCCTATGTGGGGACTTTAACTTACCTGAAATCAACTGGGATATACCCACAGGTCCAACTAAATTTGATAAGTTCTTAGGCACACTGGATATACTTGGCTGGAAACAAACTGTCACTACTCCGACAAGAGGTAACAACGTACTAGACTTAATCTTCTGCCACAATATAAGCCCCCTTTCAACGCTAGTAGGTTCTGAGTTTCCAGGGAGCGACCACAAAACAGTAATGTGTGCACTGCCAATTCCGCTGAGTAGCAATGCATCTCATACCTCCACTTCACAACAAGTAATATATAGGAACTATAGTAAGGCAAACTGGGCCTTAGTTGAATCGATGCTAAGATCCTCCAAATGGGATGAATACTTCACTACTGATGACCTATCGAGAGCCCTAACCATCTTCTACCATAACTCAAACATATGCTTAGATGCTGTCATTCCACTCCAAACACTAAAGGTTTCCCCACACAGAAAGTCATTCATAAAACCAAAGGATCGTAAGAAACTGAAGAAACTCTCAACAAGTTACTTCAAACACCACGACTTTGGCACTCTAGGTCTAATACTTAAAAGCTTTAGCTCCATCACACAAGCTCAAGATTTCCGTATGAGAAAGGAAGAACGCTGTCCGCGATATTACCTCTTTTAATAACACAGTGCTTTGTATGCCCTATCACGACTTTGAAGGGTCCTTCATATGGCTGACTGTGGGGTGCTTTTGTTTTATTATATTGCACAAAGACGTTGGAGGCAGAAATCCGATTCCTCTGGTGTGTATACTACTCTGGATTGTCTTGGTGAACTAATCAACTTTAATTTAACCATTTATAGTTGAAGTCTGTCATTAGATTTAACCTGGTCCATGCTGCTCTTATTAGCACTGGGATTGATAAATACTTCAGGTAGTTTCAATGTGGTTTTCAAATACCATTTCTGCAGCGGAATATCGAGTATCAGTTCTCAGTGCTATATTGGTGATTGCCATTGGTAGGAGTTGTGTCCAGTGGTTGGAGTTAGAGTGAGGCGTCAATGCATCCTTAAGGTGTCGTAGAAGGCATACTGTCACCCATTCAACTCGAGAGT